ACACCCTCATACACTTTGTCTCTCCTTTACTATTACACTTTGTTCCACGGGTTAATGAGAACGACTCTATCTGACGGACGAGTTATCTAAGTACTCCAATTTCGAATTATAGTGAAAAACCGGTGATTTATATTTAACAACTGACTYGCTTGCGCAAAGATCGTATCTTACGCAAAAGAAAGCACAGTTGTTTTTAATTACTAGCCTTGAAAATGTGCATTTTCCCAAATTGAGGTTAACTCTGTATTCCCAGAAGACCTAAGGTATGAGCCTTCAAGGACTACAGGGTTAGACTCAAAAGGGGGGGGGAGGGGGGGGGAATGTAAATTGTTAGCTAACAACAAATAACAACATTTTCTTGTGATTTCTTTTGTGTTTGGTAAGGTCTTTACGTAAGAGAATCAGATGTCAAATAAAACTGCAGTTATTCTCTTGGAATTCGAAAAAGGAGTATTTTCATCAGACACTTAGTTATACCATTTCTTTCTTCTCTACTTGAATGCTTAAATTCTCCAGTTTGTGCAAGATGATCTGCCCAAGCTTGCGCTTTCCTGCAAAGTTCTTCATCAAGTGCCATCGTACGGCTTTGGTGTACTTTTCTGAATTTGTTATGCAGCTTTAACCCTTCTTCTTCATAGTCTGAGCGAAAAAAACAACAACAAAAATTAACAATTATTTAAAATTTCGAGTCAATGAATCAACAACAACAAAAATAYTAATGTTGATTAATTTCGCTTATTGAAGTTAACACTGTTATTATATTCTGACTGAGTAAAAGTAATGCGCTCAGTTTATTGCTCTTAATTTGAATATGCGTTTGTGCTTCGTGCTTCCTGACCCCCTCCATCCCTTATATATTCCTATTTCCACAATTGTTGACCTGATCCATAAAACCTATATTGTCCAGTAATCCTCATTTAATCACTAAGGAATTAGTTCTCGGCTACGTTGTGTGTTCTTCTCGAGATCKACTTTGGATTTGCAACATTGCAACTTTAATATTCAGCTAATATTACCTTGAAATTCTGTAGACATTTCGYCTTGTTTAGAAGATGGAGATGCAGACGTTGGTAGTGGACCTGTAGTAGGGCTCTTTGTTGCCTGACTCGAACCTACTGAATTGGAGGATGGTGCACTTCCTGTGCTCTCCCATGCCAATGGTGTTGACGAGGGAGCAGTTGTCGGCGAAGTTGATGCTGGAGGTGGTGGTGATGGTAGATGTGCTGGTGGGGAAGGAGGTAGAGCAATAATGGGTGGTGGCATGATCCCATTCTGTCCTTTTATGAGTAGGGATAATAGTAATGAGTCTCCACCTCGTCTRAAACTTGCTAGTCCATGGATTTGAAGAGTTTGAAGATCTCCGTTTGTACCGTTGTAACCTAATCAAAATTTCAAACAAAAATTATAGATTTTGGTTTTGATCCGATAAACCTCTATGTATTTGAAATCATGTGATTTTGTAGTAAAGAGGGTCTGAACGGGGTATAGTGTTTAGTGTTATAAAGCCTTACTTTACAATATTTATAGTATTAAATTGCTCTTTTTTTAATGCTTAGTGTTATTTGAAAAAATGTTTCAATGTTTCAAGTTTCGGAGCATACCTATATACACTACATTTCTGCCCAATTTTAATAATAAACAGCTAAAGAAGAGAATTAATGAGCAGAAACTGAGCAGAAAATAYCAAAAATCACTATTGWAGACGTTTTGAGGCGTGGAACGAATCTTCAGTCATACGCCCGCGATATTTATATTATGTGGCCAGCTGAMAAGTGACTTTTGTACATGTAAACTCGCCTTTTTTTGTTTGAAGAAACATTAGTGGGAGGGGACATTGGTGGAAGGGTGTGGAAGATCAAGTTGGTGCAAGACTGAGGGGACCTCAGGCGCGGCCATTTTTTTTTTTAATTTACAAAAGCTTTAGCGTAGATTTTTCAAAATTTTGTCTTTCAGAATTTTTTTTTGTAAATTTTTAAATTGCTTATTACAGTTCAATCATATACGATATACTGTTCGCATTTAATCTGATTTTTTC